GGGCATTGATGTTTCAAACTAATTTACTAGCATCTCTTTGGTCTTATGCTATCATACACTCGGTTCATCTCATTAATCGATTACCTACACCTTTGTTACAAAATCAGTGTCCTTATACTATTTTTTATAAACAACAACCTGACTTAGGTCATTTAAGAGTTTTTGGTTGTTTAGCCTACTTTACTACTTTGGAACATGGTCGAACCAAATTATCTCTAAGGGTTAGGAAAACTATTTTTATTGGGTATAAAAAAGGAACTAAAGGATAATTGTTGTATGGTATTCAACCCAGACAAATTTTTGTTTCAAGAAATATGGTCTTTTATGAAAATTCTTTTCCTTTTCAATCAGTGATGAATCTTACATTACTAGTTCAACTCTGCCAAAACCAATTTGTGATAATAGTGCACCCTTGGATATAGATGATCTCACCACTTTTTCAAATCAAGAGAGTGTAAATAATTCCAATTCAGTTACTACTACAACACCACATCCCACCGTTTCACAACCTTCTAGACACTCCATGAGACAAAGAAAACATCCACACTACTTGAGAGATTATCACTACTATCTATCTGTTGCTTCCTATACCAGTCTGTCATATGGTAATCATTCTTCCTATGCACATTATCCTTTATCTACTTTTATTTCTTATAATAAATGCTTCCCTAGTTACAAAAATTTTTGCTACTGTGTATCTTCCTTAATTGAACAAAAACATTCACTCAAGCTTCTAAAATGGATTGTTGGGTGCAAGCCATGAATTTTGAAATTAATGCTCTTGAATAAAACCGCACTTGAAGGATAATTGATCTTCCTTCCAATAAAAGGCATGTGGATTGTAAATGAGTTTATAAGATAAAATTCCATGTCAATGGTACCATAAAGAGGCATAAAGCCTGCTTGGTTGCCAAGGGATTCACACAACTTGCAAGAGTAGATTATTTTGATATTTTTTTCTCCTATTGTCAAACTCACAACAATGAGGGTCATTCTTGCCGTAATTGCTGCCAAAAACTGGTTCCTTGACATGCATTTGTCCTTGGTATGACAGCTTCTCATCCTAATAAAGTTTGTAAATTAAAAAAAAAATCATTATATAAGTTGAAACAAGCTAGCCAACAATGGTATGCCAAGCTCACCACAACTTTATTAGCTTTTAAATTCACACAATCTTCAACTGATAATTCTCTCTTCATAAAGAAAATAGGGGCATCTTTTACTGTATTATTAATCTATGTTGATGCATAGTTCTTGTAAGAAATGATTCTAATGAAATTGAATCTATTAAGGCACACTTAGACCATGAATTCAACATTAAGAATCTTGGGAAACTTCGTTACTTTTTAGGTCTTGAAATATCTCGCTTTTCTATTGGGATTGTGGTTAATCAAATAAAATTTGCTCTTGAGTTGCTGAAAGAGAATGATATGCTTGCTGCCAAACCTATATCTATTCTTATGGATCAACCAAATTCAATAGCTCTTCATGAAATCCTTTATCTGATCCACAACCTTATCACAAATTAGTTGGTTAGTTGATGTACCTTACAACCACCAAACCAGACTTAACTTTTCTTACTCAACAGTTGAGTCAATATGTTTCTCAACCAATGGATACTCATCATAGTGCTGCCATGAGAGGTCTTCGCTACATCAAAGGTTCTCCTACTAAAGGTCTTTATTTTCGTGCCAACTCATCTCTAATTCCTTCCAGTTTTGCTCATTCTGATTGGGGTAGTTGTATTGAAACCTGAAAATCTGTTATTAGGTATTGCGTCTTTCTTGGCTCTTCCTTAATTTCTTGGAAAACAAAAAAACAAACAATTGTATCTCGTTTTTCCTCTGAAGTTGAATATAGGGCTCTTGCAGCTTTGAGTTGTGAACTGCAATGACTCCATTTCTTGCTCACTGATTTGCAAGTTCCTCCCACTGCTCCTATTTCAGTGTTTGGTGATAATCAGTCTACTATATACCGGGCTCACAATCCAACTTTTCATGAACAAACAAAGCATATAAAGATTGACTGTCATGTCATCCGGGAAAAAATTCAAAGTGGTATTCTTCGTTTGTTGCCCATTTCTTCTTCTGCACAATTGGCTGATATGTTTACTAAGGCTCTTCATCCCAAAGTTTTCACACAATGCATATCCAAGCTTGGACTTCGATGTTCATAGTCACGCTCGAGGGAAGGTATTACCAAATAATTAATCATGTTTATTACAATTTGTTGTTTTTGTCTTTTTTCTTTCTAAACAATTTTGCATAGTTTATTATTACACGTGTCTAGTTTGTTATATATGGATGATTTTCTTCATCCTTACACATAGAGACTTTGCCTTTTCTGTAATGATATCATGGAATTAATGAAACATTTATTATGCACTCAAAATCTTCGTTATCACCTTTCCATTTCTTTTAATTTAATGGTTATGGTGAGTTACTCTGACTGTAATTTAAAACCTTGTTCCCATCACTACAAAAGTAAGTATTGTAAGAATTGGCTGAATTCAAGTTTTGTGAGTAATACATAATGTTCGTACCTTGTTTTAAATTAAATGCTGTTTTCACTTCTGCGTCCTTTTAACTTCAAGACCTGAAGGTTTTTAATAAGATTGGGAAAGGTAACATTCAAGATGCTCTTCTGAGTGGTTCCACCATATTAGCACTCAAGATTTGTCCATTTAAGTTATCAATAATAAACAATAAATACATTATAATATCGTAAGAGAATCCTGCATTTACATTCCATTGTCAACTTTGCGCTATAGCTAAATAGAATAGTATGCTTGGTTTAATCTATACTAGTAGTAGGTGATTGTAGCAGGATTTACCTTGATATTTTTAAGAAACATAAATCAGCATCACATACTATAATATCATTATTTCTTGCTAACGTAGAGAATCAGTTTGCTGTTTTTGGTTTGATGATGTTTGAGAACTAGTTATAACTGACTTTTTTACACCAAAAGATGTCAATCATCTGTTCTCCTGATAGAAAGGCTTCAGAAAAAGTTTGTAGCTGAATAAAAACATCAGCATCTCCTTAAAGTGGCCATAGCTTGGTCTTTGAAAGAAAACTTTCAATCATATGTTCCAATCTCATTTTGTAGATTTCGAGCCTACACTGTTGCCTTCACCAAATGGCTTCAACAGTTTGAACAAGTTTCCATTTGAGTTTCTTTATTAAAAAGAGCTAGAGTACAATGCCTTTATGCTATTCATCACACTTGCATTTAGAAGAATTTCTTGAACACATAGATCCCTCACCCGTTTAATATATTTCCTCTTCTATCAGCTACAACAGCTACCTAAGACCCAATATCGTAATTCCGATTACCTTGATTATGGCAAACTAACTGTTTCATATATATCCTTCTTCTGTCAAGTTTCCACAGAATTTGAACCTCAATTTTATGCTCAAACAGTCAACTTTGCACATTACAGAGGAATTGCAACAAGTATTATTCCACTTCCACTCGATAAACACACAATTGGTTGTAGATGCCTTAACAAAATTAAGCACAAGGCAGATGGGTCTAAGGACTGATGCATGGCCATTTGATAACAAACGAATTCACACAAGCTGGTTTGGATTTTACAGAAACAGTTTCCTCTAGTGGCAAAAATTACAACACTACTATCCTTTCATTGGTTGCGGTAAATGGCGCATTTAGCTATATATCAACAATGCATTTCTAAATGGAGATTTAGTACATAAGATTTATACGGAAATTCCTCAAGGATACCATCCTTCACATGATTCTCCAAATTAGGGGGAGAACTTACAGGGGGAGTTTATGGCTTGAGGGAAGCCTCAAGACAATGGTTAACCAAACACCAAGTTTACAACAACTTTTCTGCAGCATTGTTCTGAAAGTTGGAATGAGAAAAACCTCTCAAAAAGCAAATAAGCCCTCTTTTTACTTGAGATACTAATTTATTGGATGAAGACCTCTGCCACCACCAACAAACCCCAATCTAAAATTAACACAGCTTTTGTTGGATGCATAAACATCTTATTGGCAGCTTTAACTGACAATATCAAGACCACACATTAGCTATGTTGTGCATAAACTGAGTCCACTTGTCTCTCAACCTCGCACTACTCGCTTTGATGTGGCTCATCAGCTGCTGCAATACATCAAAAAGCACCCGTCTCCTGGTCAAGGAATTCTATTTTCTGCTATGTCCAGTCTTCATTTACAGTCTTCTGCTAATTTTGACTGGGAAATTTGTCCTTATCTTATACAAGGAAATCTGCAACTGGGTTTTGGTGTCTTCATTGAGGATTCTCTAGTTTCTTGGAAGCCCAAAAGCATACCACCATATGTAGATGCTCTGCTGAAGCTGAGTATAGTCACTGGCTGAAGTTGCTTTGCTAGTGAACTAACATGGTTCTCACAAAACTTCTACCAAAATCCTCACTCTAACTGTTATTAGAACATCTTCCTCCCGTATTGAGGGGAGTATTACAGTTAAGATACTTAGTTGAAATCCGTTAGAACTGTTAATTTAGTAGTTCCTTTTATACATCTGTTATTTGCATCTATAAGCCTATTGTTTATATCATTTATATCAGTCAGTCAGTCAATCAATGAGAATAATTTTCTTTCACCCTTTTCATTCTTTTGGATTCAATAACTTGCGGCCACAATCTGCCCTAGCCAAACCAGAAAATGGGACAGAAAATCTAAGTTATTGTGTATCAGAGGTAGCTGTGAGAAACGAACCAAGAATTGGAAACATTTGTGGCTATTAAGCATTTTTTATTTTATTTCCAATTTGGTATGATTCATCTTAACTATCGTAATACAAACATACCATGTCTGTGTTGGCCACAAAGGCACAACTACGTTGAAGAGTGGTTCAAGTATCCTTGATCAGTTCCAAGATGATAGCAGGAAGATATCCGTCATTACTAGAACCCATATCAAATTTATCCACCACAATAAAATATAGCAACTTTCATGACTTTTATTCCTAAGTAAAGGAGATAAATAGTACTACTAATTTAGATCGGTTTAGTTGTCAATATGAATCCAGAATAAAAACTGAAGACTAAAACACATAGAAGCTCAATAATTACAGTGAAGGAAAGACATGATTTATATAACAAGCACAGAAGCTCCAAAATTGTCCTCCCGGAGCCCTTATACAACTAGAAACATACAAAGCAAAATACCAAAGCAAGATTCCTAAGAGAAAACTGAAAATGAAACTAAAAGGAAACCCAACAAGTCTAGTAACGAATCTGGCAATCTTGGCCCCTTGCATGCATGTCTTACTGTACAACAACATAACAATAAAGCAGACAACTCAAGGCCGGAACTGTACCAAATTACGTCCTTCAAAGTTTCAAAGTCAAATCTGGTGTTGAGTTCTCTATGTCTACAGGTGGATTAACCCCAGTAAAACTCAAATCTGAACTTCCAGTCAGTATGAAATTCTGATGACTATCACCAGCCTCGACAACCTGACGAAAACTACCCGGCCACAACAAATCTGACTCATCATCTTCCAAGAATATTGGGATGCCAACATACCCTTGATCAAATCTTGCGTTGCTTTTTATCTCAGGAGGCCTCATTGTTGGTGAGAAGCCATGGTGCAGTGAAGAGTGTGCCTTTACTCCTAAGGACCTAAAGGAACCATGAAGAGGGAGAGATGCTAGATTGGCATACCTTTCAGAGAAAAATCCCATTCTCAAAGCCCTTTTTGCTAATGTTCTTTCTCTCTTGTGGGCATTCTGGTGTCCACCAAGAGCCTGAGAGCTGAAAAATTTGCGCTTACAGTAATTGCAAGAGAAGACTCGTGATATGGTCGCTGCTGTGGTTTGAGAAGCAGGTTCATTGCTGCTCTCGCTAGTGCTTGAGAATGAGAATCCTATTGAATCTCTTCCCCCTGGCTCACTGTTCTTGAAGTTGAGAGTTAAGTCAAGTGAAATAGCATCTGAATTAGGATGACTCCCAATTGGATTTGTGGTGTGGGAAATGTTAGTGAGGCTGTCACTACAAGGACCTATAGAGGTTTCTTGAATAGAAACATTGGAAGCAACCTGGCTGCTAACTTCAGATTCATATTCTGCATGTGCCTCAACTTCAAGATCAAAGTTTGGTTTCATGATGTAGCTGTGCTCAAGTTAGAAGCTAATTTAACAAATAGGAGTGGGAGTTAACCACCAGATTATCCAGAATGAAATCTATTTCTGAGCTTGCTCTGGGATATTTACTTTATCCTGCAATTAGTTAAGCCAAGAAAATCAATCAGCTCATTAAGCAATCATAACAAAAATCTTGAATCAATACTGATACTGTGAAAGATGACTAGATACTCATCCAAGTACCGTGTTTTATGATTCCTATGGCTTAAAAATGAACTTTCCCTGCTGGAAAAGCATTTCTAGTTGGTGCTTGTTTGTTTCATTATATGTTTGGCCAGCCAAATGGGATATTGGATTGGTAACTCGTAGCAGTGATCGTAACTCTACTCAAATCTGCTAACAAAACCATTATTTAATTGCCTTTTCGGAATTTGTTATGACATATTCGGTTGAAAAATGTAATGTTTAAAAACTACTACTATTTTCAACACAAAAATTCAACCATCCTATATTCTAGCTTTTTCAGACTTGCCGACTAAAAATTCATATAAACAAGAATGCCGAGTGCTTAATAGGAAACATTCAAAGCCATCCGATTTACGAAAGTATGATCGAATATTTGAAATTAGGGTGAAATCAGATTGTAGAATACAATTCTAAAATCTTTAGCAAGGAACTCATACTGTCTGAATCTTCTTCACATATGCTTGTTGTAAGTGATTAGCAAGGACATGCCATGAAGTTCATGAATAATTAATTAGCCAATATCAGTGTTTTCACATTTCATCATGGCCAAAAGTATCATCAAAATCCTGTAATTGTTAACTATATTTAGTAATATACTATATCTATTTTGAAATCAATGTTGAATCTGATATGGAGATTCTTTCTTATTATATATTTCCAAGGACTCATTGACCAAGGAGATTGAACGTCATGAGTGTCTCCTGATGAAAGAGAGAGAGAGAGAGGACGAAGCACCCAGAAAAAACTTGAACACCATCAGTTTGTAAGAGCAAGTCAAAGCTTGGAGACAGTAAGACCATCATTCAGCACACAAAACAGAGACAAAGAAGAACATTAATATGGAGATCCAACAACATCAACATATCGAAAACAAAGAACTGCATGAAGATGGTTGTTTCATCTCAGTCCCTCTCAATTTTAGAATTAAATCTACCTGGACTTCCATTCTGTATAAACAAACACCCAGTATAGCAACAAAGAAAGCCTACTTATGACAGTTTAGAGAGGAAAATTACTCTGGAGGCTTGGCTAGAGAGGCAGATTTTGGTGGAGGCAAAACGGGGCAGGCACTGATGCGATGACACAAAGTTTGAAGGTAAAATCCACATACCATTTCCTTTATTCAGTATTTCAGAGTCATCTAAACCCAAGAAAGAGTTGAGAGAAGCAAAAGTGAAAACCAAAGTAAGACAAACAGTACTTACTTAAGTACATAGATGAGAGTGCAAGAAGGTTGCATACCTTCTCAAATTTCAAGATCAAGTGAAAGTGGCCTGCTTCTGAAATCACCTAAAAACTGCTTTGAAATCGGAGACATCTGTTTCCAGTGTAGCTTTCCTAGCTATGACTGTTTATGAGAAGACAAAATTGGTCATTGAGTTTTCTATGTTTCTGAAACACTAATAGAGGGTAAGGTGTGGGCTTAGATATTTTTTTCTTTTTTATTTAACAAGTTTAACTGAAAAGGAATAAAAAGCAAAGAAGAGTAAATGGGGAGAGAGAGACATAGAGATGGTGGGTATTGATGTTTAATTATGGGAAAGAACAGGTAAGAAAGAAGTGGAGAGTTAGGGAACAGAGAAGTCAGAGGAAGAAAAGGAGGTTTTGGGATATATAAAAAGAGAGTGGGAGATATGATCAAATTAATAATGTGCTACAGTATTTTCAGTGTCTCTTAGTTAGTGTACTCTAATCTTTTTTTTTTTTCTTTAAGTAAATAGTCTATAAAACGGTGCTTTTAAATTGTTATCTCATTACAACTTGCCATAAATGAAAATTTTGTCCATGACTGTGCAAAAAAGTTTATGCTAAGAACAACATATAAAAATCTAAACTTTTTTGTTTTCCTTCTGCAAAAATTTAGACTTTTCTGAGAAAGCTAACAAGTGAGAAGCAGTTACAAAGTTGAAAGTAGAAGTAGGTTGATGAGGAAGAACCGAAAAACAGGCCAACAACAGTGTATTCATTATTCCCACCAAAGATTCTGAAGCCTCTAGCTTTCTTTCTCTCTCCATCTTCACCACTTCAAAAGTGTTTCAGATAACACCAATGCATGGGGTCAGATTTCAAAGTTTCATGTTTGGTTCCATCTAGCACGTCTAGCATAACTACTCTTCCCATCCTATTCGGACCATCCATATATTATTCATGATCCCATGTACTATGATATGACATCATTTGTTTCTTAACAACTCCACTCACAATAAATAATGCAACTCCTGTCCTTCACTTCCCAACAACCCTTTTTTACATAGTATTTATGAATTATGTGAACCCCCTCGCTGTTTTTTTCTTTCTAAATTCCATTTCTGCTCCTTCAACTTGCTTTCGGGTTTTAGATAGAATTATAAAGAGACACCAATTAAAGCATCTTGTTATTAATTTATTCACTTAGAAGACGGTTGGGTTTGTTTTTCACGAGCATCTTAGAACATACATAACTTGTGTGTACCGTTTTCATTTATATCAGAATTCAAATTTCATTTAATAATTTACATAGAATTTGTATTAAAAGATTGACAAATGCTGCTATCTATTGCTTTTGAGTATTGCTTCATCATATTTGGGAAAGAAATAAAGTTCTTCCATATCTCAAGATTCCTAATATTTATGGGATTTAATTGTATAATCATGACATGGATGTCATGATATGAATGTTTGATATTGTTGTATTCAAGAGTTTAGTAAATCATTCGAGTATGGAAGAATTTAGGAAAACCTTAAAGTCAGAGTATTCATTGTCAATATATTATCTTTCTGAAGTGTAGTCTTTATTTATATTAACAGTTTCTTCTTTAGAGTTGCAATTATGTGTCTATAATAGCAATTTTCTTACTATTATTATGTATTGATTACGATAATTTTCTTTTCTTAGTATGACATTCTTTTTTTTATAAGATGAATATTGATCCATATTATGTTTTGGATCAACATTTTTTTTATTATTTCTACACCTTTTTTATTATAATGTAATTGATCCTCTTCATCTTTATATTCATCTGTCATTGACCAACATCCTTTGAATTTTTGTGATTGGTGAGTGTATCGAATGAAATATGGACCGAACGGTTACTGAATAAAGTCGATCGGTCTATCTGCTATTGGTCAAATGGTTTGGGCCGTAATTGGGTCAGCGCTTAAGTTGTTACTGGGTCAACAGTCCAGCAGATGATAAAATAATCAAAGAATATCTAATTACAGATATTGCAACCAACCGGATTTTTAAGTAATCTGATTATATCTTATTCTGTTTATATTTTATTGGGCTTTTATCATCTCAGGATCCATGAGGTAAATTATAAATACAAAGTCAGGTACGTTTTCACTTATGCTCAATTCACACTCCAAAACGTTCCATTCACATTCTACTCACGCTCTACTGAGTTCATAATACTCAATTATCATAATATATGTCCTGAAGGCAACCGCGCGGTCCCCACTGAAGGTCGAGCGGTCGAAGAGGAGCGAGCGGCTCATATTGAAGGAAAGCGAGCAACTTCGACAATTCAGGCCTTCGGATGCAAGGAGAATACGTCAGAAAGGTTAGTGTCTCAGTCTTACAAAAATGTTAGTATCTCGGTCCCACAAAATATCTACGGAAACAGTGAGTGTAGTTAACACCACATAATTTAGTTAATAACATAGCATTCAAGTCTATTTTTTTGGGCTCATTTAATACTATATTATCCAAGTCAAATTTTTCATGAGTTTAATTAACAATACATCAACACAATAATTTCATTTACTAGTGAGCTCACTGTACACATTAGTATTCAAATTAATTTCTTTCATAGGTGAGCTTAATTAACACCACATTTTCCCATAAATTTTTTTCTTTTATAATTGAGCTCAATTAACACCGTACCATAGAAGTTGATTTGTTGGACAAGTGAACTCAAATAACATATATGATTTGACCTTTTTTTTTTATTGGAACCCACTTAACAATATATCATCCTATTTAACTTTTTCTTATAGGTGAGCTTACGTATAATTCGAGTTGATTTTTTTATAGTTGAGTTTAGTTAACACTATATCATCTCAGTCAATGTTTTGGTAAATAAGTTCAATTGACATCATATTATTTGAGTTGATTTGTTTATAGATGAACTCAATTAACACCATATTATCACAATAGATTTTTCATGGAAATGGATTAAGTAAAATTTTTAAAAGAAAAGTTAAAAATTGAATAAAATTAACCAAAGTTACGCAACATTTTCCAAGAAAAAGTCACTAAATCTATTCCATTTTTATAGGTTAACTTACACGATCATAGCACTATATAAAGATGAAGACCTATAAATTTATTATCTTAATATAAACTTATTATCTTAATATTTTTTATTAAAGGTGGTGTTAGTATCTGTATTCAACTCATGTCTCATTAGTGTTGAATGTCTACTCAAAAGTTGATTATTTAATATTAGTATTTTTGTCTATTTATTTACGGTGAGTTTCTCTTCTATTAAAATTGTAATTAAGGTGCACCACTCCTTTCTTTCTTATTTTCTCAATTATAATATTTTTTATTATGTTGGTATCTTCTTTCTTTATTTTATTATGGTATATATCAATATTTATAATTAGATCCCATAATCTTAATTGTAAGAATAAAATATTATTGATCTATTTGTTTTTATTAATCGCAAAAAATATATCAAGGATATTCAACACTTGAGACATGAAAAAGTTTATATAAAAGATCGAGATACCACTTTTAATCTAAAATTTTAAAATAATGAGTTTTTAGGTCCTTCTATTTTTATATTATTCATTTTATTATTTTTATTCCATATATGACTTCCACCTAATCTTGAATTTCTAACATGATATTGTGACCATATATGATTATATCCAATCAGGTTAATTTTATATAATTCGGAAAATACACATTTAAAAATGTAATTCCAAGAGAGTAGAAATAGAGGATAAAGGATTTGTTAACTTAGTTATTGTACCCAAATGATTACTAATATTATCCAAGAAAGTACAAATTTTCTCTTAGAAACTATATTGGAGTCGGAATGAAGTCATTGGACATGAAAATATAGCTAAACCAAGTGGCAAATGGAAGTGGAACATATATTGTTGTTTGTTCGGGTAAAAGGATAACAATTTGGACCATTACGTCGGATATAGGAAACCAAGTGGATATAATCGAGCCAAGAAAGGAATGAGATTGGAGGGTTTGCATTCCATGGCCTTCAATCTCCATCATTAACATGACAGTTTTTAAAAGATAATGGTATGGTCCATTATTCCACGCACGAAATTATAGAAACATAATGGCCATAGATCCAACATTTGCTCTTTTTCAACTAGCAACCGCCCTTTTTCTTTCCTTAATTTGATCTTTAATATCAACCACGCGACTTCTCATCCCTTGCTTGTGATGAGTATATGGGTCACACAAATCCATCATGCTACACTATCTAACACTATCTAACACTATCATCACTCACAATCCTATATATCTTTCACAAAAGGGAAAGCTACCACCTTCACTTCTTTAATATCACCCATGCCCTTAATATCATCATTTCAAATAATTAACATTTTTTACCCACACATGCAATTGTCTCACCACAACTTCTCTTCAATTATTACGTCGACACCCACAACACTACTTCAACTGATAGCAAAAACCTTTTATTTCAACCGTTACTAACTTCTTATACTTTTTAGTTCACTCAAAATCACATATATCAAGCTTTTAGAAATTTAAGTGTGAGTTCAAGTTTGATATTGAATAGAAATGAGAAAATAGAGTACGGTATAAATGTGAAAGACTCGTTAACACAGTGTCTTAAAGTTTTGAGTAAAGAACAATGTTAAATCCTTATTGTTACTATGGGCTTATAGTCGACCGAATGGTAAAGGTGCAAGAGAGCCTCTAAGTTATTTTGAGCTCATGGCCGACCGATGATACCTCCTAGGCAAATGAACTGAGCGGACAAACAGTTAACCGCTCGGTAAAATGGGCTTGCAACCAACCGAACGATAAAGGGGTAGAAGAGTCGGCAGACCGATGATACCTCTCAGGTCAATAAACCGATCGGTTTAAAGAGCCGTTAAGGTAATCAATAGTAATAACTACCGGGGAATTAATGAAAATAATTGTCATTGACAATTAATAATCTCATTCATGGGTGATTAATAGTCAGACCTAACGGTAAGCTTATTATAATTTATAAATATTTGTCTGAAAAAGAAGACAGGTAACTTGAACTTGAACTGAAACTTAGAGCTCTGATAACTAAATCTTGATTACAAGATTAATACGCGAGGTCACTGACTTGAGCGTCGGAGTGTCTTTTGCAGGCACCCTTCCCTGCGGCTTGGACAAGGAGAAGAGAGAAGAAAGCACAACTGGACATCGGAGCGGACAACTTTGAATGTTTTGGATTAGGATTCTAAATCCTGTCAAAACACTTATGTAGTTGGGTTTAGATGTAATCGATAAACCTCTTCCTCAATAGATCCAACCGTGGTATGTCTTTTATGGGTTTATTCCCTCTGATAAGTATTGCTATGAATTTAAACATGTTTTTTGTCAATTATTAAAATGGGGTTGGTGGTAGCATCAATTATCACGCGATGGACA